CCGGCCCACGCGCGCACGCCCGAGCCCCGCCACTGCACCGCGGCCGCGCTCCGACCCGCCAGCCAGCATGGGGAAGCCGGCGAGGAAGGGTTTCGACTGGAAGCGCTTCGCGAGGAACAACTGGCTGCTGCTCTCCACCGTGGCCGCGGTGGTGCTAGGTGAGCCGCGCTGCGGGCGGCGGTGCGCGCACACTCGCTCGCTCACTGACGCGCGCGCAGCGCCCAGGCCGCGTGCGGGGCATGCGGGTGCGAGGGTGGGCACGGCGCTGCGCACCTCGGCTGTGGCCTCGGAGCGCACGCGGGGGGTTTCCCTTGCAAGCGGATCTCTGTGCGCCGGGAACAAAGCTGGGGACTCCCATGTGCTCGCTTCCCGCACGATCCAGGAGGCTTGGGAGCTGGGAAAGGAACCAAGGCGCTCTCTCGGAGGTGACCCTTTGGAACCAAACGGTTTAATTTTTTTATTCAGCGCTACCTGTTCCCTCATCCCCCTTTTGCCCCTGAACCACGGTTCAGAAAGTGGTATGAATTGCAGTCACCGGGCAGGAGCCTTGGCCTCCGGGATGGCTGAGCCCCCTCAGCCGAGGAAGCCCGGGAATGCTGCCGCCCCTCGCCCAGGGTGGAAAAATGTTGCCTTCCCGCGCGGCGAGCGCCTGCTGCTTTCCAGATTCCTGCTGGAAATCAGGGATGTGCAGTTGCGGCCCGCGGGAGGTCGAAAGGGAAGAGAACGCAGCGCTCCCGCTCCCTTTCCTCAGCTACCTTGCTTTCCACGTGTTCCTCTATTAAAAATAATTGTAAGCCATTTTTACTTGTTTTTAAACAAGGGTGTGTTTAAGTGGTTCACTCCTGACAGATCGCTGGATTAGGTGATGTCTGAGCCATTGCTCAGAGGTATGAGTTATTCATAGTTAGATTTTGAATTTCCGCCAAGGTTACCTGTTCTCTAAATTGAGCTCTGGGATGCGCTTCTTTGGAGTTGGAGCCATTTCTGTCTCCTTGTCCTAAGAGTCAGCACAGGTGGGGACACCCAGGGGATGAAGGCGGGTGCACCCTCTGGGGAAAGTAGATTCCCTGGCAGGCGCCACCTCGGTTTCCAAACTGCAGCTGGAAAGGCGGGTGGGGGGACAGCCTGGCCCCCTCCTGACCTCCTGCACTTTCCTTTCCAGCTGCAGCTTCTGAATTGGTAAATATTTGGCATTGCCTGCCCTCCTCGCAGTGCCCTCCCCACCAAAAAAAAAGCTATTTGAAAGTTAATGGGATCCTTGTGGTCTGATTGACTCCTCCAGAACTTTATGCAAAGGAAAGTCAGGTTTCTAGTAAATAAATAACACCCCGCAATTGCCTTAGCAGAGGACATTCTTGTGGGAGGAAAATGGAGAAGCAAGTATTGACTTACCCCTCTGAGAAAGTGCCAAGTGCATTGGGGCATTTTTGGGGAAGGTTTGTCCTGTCCCACCACATATAAATAGCACAGCCTACAAAGAGTGATTTGATCTCCTTTCATCCCAAAGAAGCAATGACCCTGTTTGTCTTCCAAGTGATAAGTCCAGTATTAATTATTAAATCCGTGTGTCCAGACTTCTGAGGGATGACCTTAGGCATGTGTGTCCCTCCCAGTTCCCTATGGTAACGCACTGGTCCTGACTTTTCAACCCTGGGCTCTTCAGAGATACTCACCTGTTGACTAAGTTCTGGGCATCAGCGGATATTGTACCCAGTCATTAGAGGTTGGTTTGGAAAAGACTTTGAGCAGCTGCTCCCTGGCATTTGGAACCACTTACAGAAATACATCTTCAAGATCAAGAGGGACTTCATGTTGGTTTGGTGGTCTTTGGTCTCAGGTGTGCCTTGGTGAGCTCCAGGAGCCTGACTCCATTTGGGGTTCTTTTGTTTGTTTGCTTGCTTGTTTGTTTGATTGATTTTCTCCATACAGGAAATCCTCCATTTGAAACTTGGTAGTGCCTGGCTGAAGTGCTGCCCCACCTTTGTTTCTACGGACCACAACACAGGGCAGGCTCTCAGTGTGTGTGTCTGCTTCTAGACTGAGTCTTAAGTTTAGACCACTCCCAGGACGCCCATCCCAGACCCCACTTTTCCTTTTTTCTTGACACGCTCTGGGCCTGAGCAAAAGGAATCATAGCCCTTTTGCGTCGTCTGCACTGGCCCACTTGTTTAACAAGCAGTGAAACTGCAGCTTGTACTGGCACTGCGTATTTATAATACCCCACTAAGTCATTGTAGTAAGGGATTATTTTATAACTGCCTTCATTGATGCAGGAAAATTGCAAAGGCTCACGTGCAGCCTCCTTTCTGGATTTTCCAGCATGTGGATCCTAAAGAAGAAAAAACTGGGCTGGGAATTTAGCTCAGTGGCACAGCACCTGCCTGGCAGGCGCAAGGTCATGAGTTCAGTTCCCAGTACCAGAAACACCGCCCCCGCAAAAAAAAGAAGAAAAAACTGTTAAATTTATTAAGTTCTCTGGCCAAATGTCATCTTCTGATCACAGCCATTGAAATCTTTGGTCTCTGCTGTAATTCAGAAGCTCTGACTGTAAAATATTTCAGTCATTGAAATGAAGGGCAGAGATCTATTTTTGCGATCCTGCCTAACGTCTCTGATTTTCCAAGATACAGCATATGAGGGGAAAATGCAAGCGGACTTTTCTCATGGACCAGAAGATGCTATGAGCTAAATATTTAACCAAATTCTTATTCACAAGTAAAGGGATTAAGTAGTTAAATTGCCCTCATTGTTAATTTCTGTGAAGCCCTACATGATCCTAAAAATAATAGCTTGGGTTTTCACAAAAGAAGTTGTTCCTAAAATACTGTAAGGATCATTTTTACTGATTTCCTTGTAAGTCTTCCAGGTGTTCCCTGTCTCTGCGGTATAGTAGAATGAGCGCAAAGCTGGAGTTGGGGCCCTAGACTTGAATTCTGGCACTCCCAGGCTCTACTGTTCTAGACAAACGGTTTATTCTCCGGAACCCTCACCTGGAAAATGGGAATATTTGTTATTAGGGTTGGTTAAGATACTGTGAACATGCGTAATTCTGTGGTTGGCATAAGTGCCCAGTAAGTGTTATTTTAAAATAAACCTGACTCATCTGATTATGAGAAAATTATTTTATGAAATAAAGTCTGCTGCTGTATCTCCTCTGCTTTGTGTCCAGTCTGTGATTTAGAGCCCAGGGTCATCCAAGCGTTTTGGTGACATATTCTGTCTAAGCCAACACAGCCTCTGAAATGTTCTTTTTATAATTGAAATGGAAAGAATTAATCATTTAATGGCAGAAATTCTGTTAAAGGGGAAGAAGTGTTTTTTGTTGCTGTTTTGTTTTGTTCACTGGGAAGACATTTGGGCTCTAAGTGGGGCTTCTGTTCAAGCGGAATTTCTGAGTGTGGGAATTCTGCCTCAAATTACCAATAATGATCTTACAGTGCAGTGCCGGGGAGTGACGTGTGTCCTCACCCTACTCACAACTGACAGCCTCACTTTCTTCTTTAGTTTGCTTATATGTTGTTTCAGTCATTTTAAAAACCTGTGATTTCAGGTTTAGGAATCTTCAGACAAAGGCAGTAGGTACTGTTTATGCAGTGGAGCTGGGATGCTTCGTCACTTGAAATAATTTCCTTTGAAGTGTGAAAGAAGCAATCACTGATAGTGTCCAATTCCATTATCTAGCACCTGAAAAAGTCTTTCATGTTCTTAGTAGTACAGGCTCAGCTTGTGTCTCTTTCCCTGGGGCTCTGATGTGTATACCTGGCAGTGTTCATTTGAGACTTGGTGCCTGCTTTTTCCTTCTGTTGGCTTCTGTGTCAGTCCGTGAGGCCCCTGAGGATGGGCCAGGTAAGCAGCCCAAGCTGTGGTTCCAGGCCCAGCCCCATCTTCCCTATCTCTGGCCCAGCAGCATTTAGGATCATACCTGCAGGAACCAACACTTTCATTATTCAGTATCCAACAAAGGTGTGCTGGGCACCAAATACCCTGAAGTCTCCTCTGCATGTCCACAATGGAATACACCGCGTTCTTTTCCAAGATGGTGCTCCTTCTGGGACTCCTTATCCAGTGAGAAATCACCACCGCCTTCTCCACTAGCCCAGATCCCACTACACGCTGATGGTTAGATTGCTGGACATCCCTTGCCAATCCTGTACCTCCCACTCCCACTGCAGGCTGCTTAGCTTGCTGACCACCATTCCCCTTGCCTGGATCTTGGACTTGGCCCACCACATTGTGTGTGCACATCTTAATCTATTTCATCTCATCCTACTGTCTCCGTTTCTCACTCCCTTGCTCTTTAGCAGACAAGTCAGGATGCTCCACACACGCAAGGGAGGATCAAATTATACAGTGACTTTTCAAATGGAAAGGGGACAAATGGAGGAGAGAGGAAGAGGAAGTAAAATAGATTAAGATGTGTTGTGTACCTGTACTGACTCCCCTCCATCATTAAGTACTACAAACATTACTAACAAAAATTTTAAAAATTAAAATAAAGCAAAGTAAAACAAAACAAAAATTACTTCTGGGGGTCATGGAACTATGAAGATTATTGTTTTATTTACACAGTGTGCATGTTGACATTGCTCTTAGGAGCTACTTTGGCATGTTGACATCTCGGAAACATCTCCCCTTGTTCCTTACAGCTGGTAAGTGTTCCATCAGAGACCTTAATCATAACAGAATCTAAATCAGTCTCCGTGAGAAACCAGAGTGAAAATAAAGAGCAAAATGAAAGGTAGATAATAGAAAGTAGGGATAGATAGATTGTTCTCTAAGGGGAAGGGGATCAAGAAATGGAGGGAGAGGAAAGTGAGGGGAGGGAAAGGGGATGAAAAAAGGAATTAAGATGTGTCGTGTACCTGTACCATCCACACACAAGGAATATAAACATTATGTACTACATACATGTACTGAAAAAAAAAAAAAAACGGTTTTAGCTCAAGGAGGGAAGTTCTTTAGTGAATGCTGCGCTTTCTGATATTATTGGGTGCAGGTCATGGCACTCAGATTTGCTGTCTGCTTTGTTTTGGAAGTGGATGGCCAGGTAGAGAGGAAGGAATGTATACAGTGTTTAACCTTAACATGTTGCTGTGCTCTGTGGGGTTGCTTTAGATCTGAGACCTACCGAATGATTATAATTGTATCACACATTGAA